ATTCTTGCTAGAGGTTGTAGCTAATAAACATAGCTGGACTGAATTTGCATTGTCTCTTGGAGTTCCTTGGGCTAGGCCTGACAGTGGAGAAGTAATTCCATTTGTTTTGCATGAAAGTAAGTTTGCTGTGTTGGGGCCTGGGAACCACTAGAGGACAGTAAAGTGATTACAGAAAACCCTCTGCTGCTCTCTAGTGGTCTCCCATCAGATATGGCAACCCTACATATATAATCATCATTAATCAGTATATTGGGGAAAGTTGTTTCAAGCATGATGAGAATGATCATTTCCAGATGATTGCTTCACCTATTTACTTATTTATTTGGATGTGTAGGTGGCTTGAGTAAGAAGTTTTAGCGTCTGTATCATGAAAAATGATCAAAACAATTAAAAATTATAAAAGAAACCAAACCTAACAATAATATTCATACTAATAGTAACATGGCTGGCTGGGGAATTCTGGGAGTTGAAGTCCACCCATCTTAAAGTTGCTGAGGTTGAGGAACCCTGCTCTAAATGTTTTTGTGCACAGATGTCAACAGTAACCCCTTTCCTTTCCAGTTATCAATATGACACATTACCACTCACATCAAACAACTCCATCTCCAGTATCTCTCCCTGCTTATTCAATCAAACAGTCCCCATGATCAAAGGGATGCCAAGCCCAGGTAAGAATCATAGATTATTCTGATCTTTCTTTTGAATGATGTCTTTCTTTCAGATGTCTGTAAATCAAAATAAGTAAATAAATAGATAAATTGTGCTGGATATGCTCATTCTGGCCTTCTCTGTTGTGTCTCTTACCCCAGATTATAACCTGGTATTTCCATACTCATATGTCATCTTTGCTCAGTGCCAATGAGTGGACATGGTGATGCCATGCCACACCACTAGAAGATTCCTTCAGATGATACCATTAGACAATACCCCATGTTGAACTTTTCCCTTTTCCCTTTAGATAATACCCCTTGTTGAACTTCTCCCTTTTACCTCTAATGGTGAGGTGTCACCATCATTAGCATGAAAAGGAAGAAGCTCAACATGGGGCTTCTGTATGGAGCAGAACATGAGCTTGAGAGATAGCAGTTGTTTGAAGCAGAATCAAGAAATCTGCTCCAGAATGATCTATTCTGGTTATTCAGCATTTCAGATTCAGTTTCCAAAAAAGTGCTTCAGAGCTACCATAACTAGCTGCTGCCTGATTCTGGGAAATGGCATGGCTGCTGGAAGGTGTTGGAGGCAAGCCCTACATTCTCATTCTGAAGATCAAATCCAAAGCCTTGTGTTGCCTATTATCAAGAGAACAATACTCTTAATTTCACCTACTTTGGTGGCCCTGGCTGTGCATTTACTTAGTCAATTGTGGCTTGTCATCAGAGGATGATCAGTCTCTTCTCTTAAGCAAAGAAACCCATCATGATTTTTTTTTTTAAAAAAACTGGATTTATGAGAACAGGCAAAATGGACTCCATTATAGTACAGCACTGAATGGAATCTGCTGCTGTAAATCTGCCTTTGAAAATTGAGTACCCAAAGTAGGAAGTTCCTTTTTAAAAAGAGCTTACATTAAAAAATATAAAGCGGGGAGGGGGAAGGATTTATGCTCAAATGTATGGAAAAGATGACAGAACATCATCCTACTAATGTGACAGTAAAGCTGGCTGGATTTATCCTGATCTGAACATCATTATTTGTATACACCTGAATATGGAAACATCTAGGAGATGGCATTTTAGTGTCATTGCTTCTGGTGCAGCGTTGTGTTATAGAATAGCTCTTGATGCTAGTCATTTCTTATTAACACAAGCACATTTTTATTCTGTTACACCCCTGTCTTCTGTTTCGCCACACTTGTTATTGTCCACTCTGGACCGTGAAAGAATGAGGATCTGTGCTTTTCAGGAAAAGGTGTGACCCAAGGGCTGACTTCTGTTCTTCCCATCATTGTTATTCTTTGCAGACTGTGACCATAAAGTTGCTACCTATTATGCATGGATTTTCGTCTTGTTGGGGAATATGCTACGTGGAATTGGCGAAACACCAATTACTCCTCTGGGCATATCATACCTTGATGATTTCGCTAGAGAAGAAGATGTTCCTCTTTATATCAGTAATGACTAAAATGTTTGCCTGTCAGATCCTGATCTGAACTTAATGATACTAAGGAGATAGGTCAAAGTTAAAGCTGGGATGTTGAAACTTTGCCTTTCTTATTTCTCTGCAAATTGGAGGATACCTAGAGTGCCAAATACCTAGTTCAGGCTGCCTCTAGTTCTGTCCATCATTGATTGTAGCAGAAATTGGCATTCACAATCCACGTTCCCATGAAAATCTGAAGGAAAGACATTCCTCTTCATTGGCTCAGCTGTGAAAGCAACATATTTGATATGAAGCAAAGTTGCTCTCCAGCTGACCATCACTCTAGATGATGCATCCTTGCAGTTTTATTGGCTACAGAAGTGGCTTGCCACTGTCTTCTTCCAGGATCTTTTTTTCAAATTCTTGGGCAGTCTCTCATCCAACTACCAGCCACAACCAACCCTGCTTAGCATCTGAGATCAGTCAAAGTCGCCTAGGTGCTTCCACCTTCTAAGAAAATTAGCATCAGAATTTAATTTCAGGATGGTGCTGCTGATCTTATTGGGGCAGGTGATGAGGTGAGGAAGGAACAGCATACTCAGTGAATATATTTGCACATACACAACTTAATTATTACAATCTATTACATCAAAGTTTAGAAGTGTCCCCTAGGTAAGGACTGAGTAAAACAGTGAAGAATATACAAAATATATGCTGATATTATTTCTTTATCATTGCAGGCTTTTTGCACACTATAGCCATGATTGGCCCAGTAGCTGGTTTTCTCCTGGGATCTGTGTTAGCCAGACTGTATGTGGACATTGGTTTTGTGGATATGGGTAAGAGAGAAGAAGAACTAATCAGCTAAACTGGCTGGCTTAAGTGAAATGGAGCTGTAAATCTAAAGTCATTGTGCCTGAGAAAGGATATTGTGGAACCAGAAAGGGTGAAGATTAGAGCAAGCAGAATTCTTAGGGGGCTAGAATAGCCCCCTTCCATGGGAAAAAATGATCTCAGAATCTTATAGCTCAGGGGAAAGTAATAACAGCAATGGGTAAAAACATGACCAATTTTTCTCCTTCTCCGATAATATTAGTACTCAAGAACATAATTAAACCTAAATGCTGGTAGATTCGGGAACAATGAAAGGGAACAATTGTTTCCCCAATAGATAGCTAAATTATAGGATTCTGTGCCACCAGATGTGAGGATGGCTACCAGTTTAGGGGCCCAGACTGGACAACTTCATGAAAAGTGATAAAGCCCTACCCAGTAGAAGTGGGCACAAAGTCACTTTATGTGAGATGGGGGGCTATATAAGTGTGACAAATAAATAAATAAATAAATAAATAAATGGGGAAATTAAGGGACAAGCAAGTCACTGCCTTATCTCAATAGATTTCTCTACCTTCTGTCATCTAAACGTTCCTTTCTCTCTCGCAATTGCTTATGCCTGAAACTCACTTTCATGACATCTTGTGGATGCAAAGCTCTTCAATTTCAGATCTCTGAGGAGACATCTTTGCCCTGTTCACTTCACTCCCATTTCTCTCACTCTTTCAAGTGCCTCTTCCATGCTCGTATTCACTGTATAAATTTAGGAAAGCAGAGATTTGAATTGTTGTTTGCTATTCTGTGAAATGCACACATGGTTGACAATGCTCCATGAGACCAGCATTCCAGATAATGGAACTCAGCTTTCTCCATTCCTTATTCTAGATACAATAACTATCACTCCAACTGATTCTCGTTGGGTTGGTGCATGGTGGCTGGGCTTTTTACTTGCCGGGGTCATCACTTTGATTTCTGGAATCCCTTTCTTGTTCCTGCCTAAAAATCTGGACAAAAAGGAAAATTTATGTATCCAGAAGAACCTGGATTCCACAGAAAACAACACTGAAACCAGCCATGGACAGAAGCCTGATGTTGAAGAACGAGTGGCGTACTCTGGACAATTAAAAGGTAAGCACTGAAATGGTATGAAATGAAAAGCTATGGCACAGCTCAACCATGGTCAGGCTCTGGATTCTAGGAGAGCCGACTGTATGTCTGAGTCCAAATTGGATAGGGACTGAATTCCAGAGCAAGGATCAGAAGCTACTGCATAGTTGAAAATTGATGGGTTTCAAGATCTGTTGTAGCAGGAGAAGAGAAGACCAAGAGGGTCAATCATTGGTGTGAAAGGCACAAGGGGGAGGGCCAGGATATGGCAATCAGAGAGTTAGACATGAAGAGCCATGGCCTTAGCAATCACCATTCCTGGTCCTGTTGATTCAGACGTTGAACCAGAGTTTCCTACTCCTCCCATCCCACAGGGGCACTGGCATCTCGATGTAAAGATCCAGAGAGCAGAGAGTCAGAGATAGAGAAACACTATGCCCAGCCAAGTCTACTCAGGAGCAGCCTGGCATTGGATAACCGCCCAGAGTCACTTTTGTGAGATGGGCAGTATCTAAATTTGAAAAACAAACAAACAAACAAATATCAGGATTGATTGGTGCCAGTTGTGCTGAGATAGAAGCTAAGAGTTCTCTATCATTAAAGTCCTAGCCAAGTCCAATCCATTTCTGGAACCCACAACCACACATTTGCCTGTAGGATTCACATCTCTTACTGTTAGTTATCTGATTCTAGCCAGAGGGTCAATATCCAGAGCAACAATCAAGAATAAGAAGCAGAAGCCGTTGCTCAGGCTATGGACCAGACATAGATTTGCTAGGGCTTTCTGGACAAAGATTTGGTAGATATCTTCTGTATCTATGCTAACAAGCATATTCTACCATTTTTTCAGAGTTCTTCAGGTCCCTGAAGAGAATCTTTGGGAGCAAAATGTATGTTATACTATTGTGCTCATCACTGTTGAACATAAGCAGTTTTGTTGGTTATATAACCTACCAGGCAAAATATATGGAACAGCAATACGGTCTGCCAATGTCGAGATCTAATTTTATAATAGGCAAGTCTCTCTCGTTCTCATTTTCTCTCTCTCTTACACACACATGTATACCCACTCCTGCTTTTACCATAGCCAAGTAGACCAAGGAGATTAAGGAGCAATATTTTCATCCAAAAGGGGTGGATTTTGAGAAATAAATGAGAGGGATGCATCTTGCAAAGAATAGAAAAGATCAAGACGAAACATAAATTTGATTCTATTTGTAATTTAGTAGATAGCATGTAATTAATCTGATATGATTATAATTCCTATCATCCTTAACCATGGGATGGCAGTCGGGTGTCTGGGTATCTCAAACCCTTTAACCAATCCAGTGTTACTACCTACTGCTAGACTCAAGTGGCCTTTTAAAAGACTCCATCAAATGTGTAGACAGGGAAGCTGTATGGACCATTGCTGTGAACTTCTCCAACCATTTGTCCCAACCAAAGCAGAACTCTCCAGTAGGAGTCACTCCAGTAGGAGTGACACCATCACTGAAAAAAAACCATGGAGGAAGTTTCCTTCCGATATCTTCCTTGGAATCAGGGGAAACAGGAAGTCAGGGTGACTCCTGCAGACCATGGTAGAGATGATGATACAAGGAAAGGCAGGACATTCACATTCCCACATATTCACATACCACTTACTGCTTGGCCTCCATTTAATGCAAGGATACCATGCTCCACTGTTTTCAGTTCATGAAGGTGAATGAAAACTGTAAGGGGGGGGGGAAAGGAAAATGTCTCTACTTTATAACAGAATCACAGTATTGTAAAGTTGGAAGGGGTGATGAGGATTGTCTGGTCCAACCCTCTACAACAGTGTTTCTCAACCTTGGCAACTTGAAGATGTGTGGACTTCAGCTCCCAGAATTCCCCAGCCAGGCTGGCTTGGGTATTCTGGGAGTTGAAGTCTTTACATCTTCAAGTTGCCAAGGTTGAGAAACACTGCTCTACAATGTGCAAGAAAAATAAACTATCCATGTGACTGACCAGCCTACTAGGCCTAATTCCCTCTGCTTTCCATCCTGTTCATGTCCGCATGCTCGTTTCTTTAGCTCTTCCTGAGTAGTCAGTGGCAATGAAAGAATGTGACTTTCCCTTTCTCTTTATTTTTTAAATATTTCAGGTGTTGCTGTTTTGCCAGTTGTCAGCATTGGGATTTTTACAGGTGGGTTCATCATGAAAAAGTACAAGCTAGGCATCATTCCTGCTACAAAGATGGGATTTATACTATCATTCATCGGATTCGCCTTGACGTTTTTCTATCTAATGGTGGGTTGTGACAACCACCCGGTGGCTGGATTGACAGTGTCCTATGACGGGTAGGTCAATATGTCAATACACGTGTGAGCTTGCTTAAGGCTGTAAGCTTATGGTGGATGTATCTATGCTGGAAGGCTGTCCATATGTGTGTGGCGTTGATGGTCCTTTTAGAGAACCATGACAAATTTACATCATGGCTGTAAGCTATGAGCAATAGTTTCCAGTTAAGCTGATCCATCTGAGATGACTTTGTTTTTAAGTGTTGCATGTATCTTGACCCACTTTGAGTGCTTCATATTCAGGTTCCAGGATAAGTGTAAGTGTGCAATTCTCCATTTTTTTTTATAAAGGGAAGCAGCTGCTCAGAATCAACTTTCTTTATCTTCAGCCTGCAATTCCAACTGTACCTGTGCTACAAGCCAGTGGGATCCTGTTTGTGGAGATAATGGACTCACCTATGTGTCAGCCTGTTTTGCAGGGTGCAAAAACATAACAGGATCAAAGAAAAAAACAGTAAGGATGAGAAACTGACTTTTTCATTTATGTATCTGGGCTGCAAGTTGAGGAGCAAACAAATGAGAGGCAGAGTTTCTGCCTCCTCACTTTTTCTTTTAAACAACAAGGCATGTGGAGTCGAAGGCTTAGTTTTTAAATCCCCACAGCAATGTCTCTACTGCAGAAAGCAGCAGTAGATATCAGGATCTTCTAAACACCCAAGGTCAAAGTAAAGACGCCATCAAGTCAAGTTCAATTCCTAAAAGAACATGAACAGTGTGATAGAGTACACTTGTCAGCAATTTGGGAATGGTTTCCATTATTCTGGGATGTTTATTACCATGTCCTAGTCTGCTCAAGGATTTCCTGCAGGTCTCCCACTGAAATGCTAACCAGGCCTGACCCTCCTTGGCTTTTTAAGAGGAGTCAAGCAAGAGGCACCTCCAACCCTCCTAAAAATTGTGTGTATGTATAATAAATATATACTGTTTATTATATATTATATTATATAAATTGTATATAATATATTATACACACATGCAATGAGATCTTGTGCAAGAACTAACAATTTTGGAAAAATGTGAAGGGCAGCATATGCATTTATGATGTGTGGGCCAAATTGTGCAGATTCAGAATGAAATGAAGTATGTTATGTGAACGAAGCAAGCCTGCTTGAGGAATGTAGCCTAGCCTTTCCCAACCTTCAACTTTGTAAATTCTCAGTGGCTTAGTTTGTGCTATCTTTAATCTGTCTATTGGATTAAATCATTTTCTGGGTTTGCACAAGACACTGAACTGTAAGTTGTTGAAACAAGCTGGATTCACACAACACATTAAGCCACAGAAAACAAACTAAAAACTAACAAAATTTAGCATTTTATGGGAATGCAGCCACTAGTTCTGACTGAGTGTGTTATGGGAATGCAACCATTGCGTATACTCCAACATATCTGGAGGGCATTGAATGGTGCTAATGGTGGTTGAAATATACTAAATATGTGTGAGAGAGTTCCTGAAGTGTAAATCTGAACTAAACAACAGTTACTGAAGCAGATTTAACAACTATACAGAAATAATTATTTGCAGAAATAATTGTTAAGAATAGGCAAAGTCTAGCACCAAGCTAACTCCATTCTACTAGGAGGAAAGGCCAACAGGATGTCCTCCATGTGGCGCACGAATGGGCAGAAAAGTAGAAGCAAGTGATCTAAGATTAGCAGTCTCTAAGACAAACAGCAGGCAGAGGGACAGATTCTGTAAGAAGGGCCATAGAGTAGGTCCTTAACTCTTCATCACATCTTACTGCTCCCTTGTGATCAGTAGATCATGACGTCCTAAAAAGCCAGTGCCACCGGATGTAGATTTCCAATTTAGGGAAGGCTATCATAGATTAAGAGATGCATACATCAGACTTTCCATTTACAAATGAAGTGATGGGGACCTGAGATGTCCTTTACCATTCCACACGCTTTTCCTTATAGGTTTTTCACAATTGTAGCTGCATTGAGAAAGCAGATGCTGCGGTGAGGAATTCTTCAGCGGTCTTGGGTGAATGCCGAAGAAGTGATGAGTGCTCACGAAACTTTATTTATTACATAATTATCAAAGCTGTGACCAACTTTATGTACGCATTGAGTAGTATTCCAATGTACATGCTCTTGATTAGGTAAGGAATGAGGTAAGTAAACAGCCAAAAATAAGGCAGCATAGCTACTCAAGATTCCAACCAGACATTTTTTAAAACATTTTAACATCGAAAGTATAAACCTCAATGAAAATATATGCATTCCTACAAACCTATGAATGTTTAGGTGTTCAGGATATCCCTCAGTCTATTTCAGTCAAATGTATCCCATAAATTATGATGTAGTTTCAGCCTTTTAGTGAAGAGATAGCAATGGAGGAGGAAAAAATGTAGCATGGTCTCTATCGAAGTCAACTGTCCTTGTGGTTCCTTTTTGCATAAGACAAAGGGTGAAATTTTTCTCAAAGAACTTCCATCTCATGTCTAATTTCCTTTCTCCCCTTAACTCCCTGTAGGGTATATGTATGTAGTATGGAGAAATCTTAGTGTTGACCTATAGAACTACAAGTTCTATCATCCATGATCATTCTATATTGAGGCTGCAGTATCTAAATGTCCATAGCTTCTCTACTCCTTAATGTGAATAGAATTTTACCCACTTTTGCTTTGACCGCAAAGGGAGATAAGAAACTCAGAAACAGTTTAAAACAATTAAGATTTTTTTTGGGGGGGGGGGGAAAGCTATGCAAATCTATCTGCTCTGTATCTCTCTCCAGTTTTTACCATTTGGAGAAAGGGGGAGTCACACTTATTCACTGTTCTGCTGCAGATTGCCCAATTGGCATCATACTATGCAAACTGAAATAAGCATGGGAAACACCTTCTACATGGGATCAGTCCACTGGTCTATTGAGTCTAGCATCATCTGCTTTGATTGGCTATGCCTGTCCAGGAAAACAGGCAGAACTTTTTGACATCACCCACTAGCTGACCATTCCATAATATCATCTTTTTCATTGAAGTTGCCAGGAATCAAACCTGAACTTTTCTATATTCACGACTACTGTACTCTGGTGTCCCCATTCCCACCACTTTACCACCTGCTTTGTGTAAATGCTTGGACTTGTCAATCCAAGCACAGCAAGAGGAATGAAAAAGACATGAGGGTCCCTCTCTCTCAGCTAGACCTATTAATAACATGAAGTTCATTTATAGATTTTTGGCAAATCCTATTGAAGCATGTTTGCTAGTGTGATTAATTTATCATCTTTTAGATGTGTACCTCAAGACCTGAAGTCACTTGCAGTTGGTCTCCTTATGCTTGTGTCAAGATCTTTGGGTAAGATAGACCATTCTGATTTTATGGGACATTATTGGACACTTTCTTCAAGGGATTCTGACATATTCATATTGTTCAGAGTATAGCCAAATAATTATGAAAGAAAGGCATGCTTTCTTCATGCCTTCAGAATATAAGAAATGCCTTAATGGATCAGGTTTTTGAGTCAAATTAATTGGCATCTGTTTCCCACCAACTATGGTCACTGACCAGATGCCTCTGAAAAATCCCTAGCATGGCATGAAAATACAAGTTGTTCCCTTCTGGAGTCATGGGAGACAGTATCATTAATCCATGATATGAGAATCAACACCAAACCTGCACAGCAGAGAAATCTTCTAGTACAAGATGTACACAATTTTCATGAACATTTACTGAGGTCTGATATCATGGAAGGGGTTTCTCAATTGTTACAATTGTGGTTGTGGGATGCTGCGGTGCTGAGGCAAACTTTTTTTGCCAGCCCAAGAGACTTTTACAACAAGGGGCCTTTACAAAAAAGCAACATCTGTCTCTGTAGGCCAACCGCATGGAGATGCTTGACATCAACCTCTTTGCAATTCAAGAACCTTTATTTTTGATCCTAAAGACTTCTTGTACTTTTGAAACATTCGGGGTTCTTCTTTGCATGCTAACACCTCCCTCTTGTGTACGGGAGATACTTAGAGAACTTCTCTGTTCTTTTCTTGCATACTAACTAACTTATGACATTAATTTCCAGAAAGGTATAATGTTCACAAGTTTAATGCTAGCTTGTAAAACTTCCTCATGTAAAGGTGATCTATTGCAGAAGCCAGATTTTGCACACATGGGGAAAAGGTATCTAGCTTGCTCTGGAAAAAAACCAAAAACTTGATTTAGATTTGCCACTAGGGCTGTACTCTTTAAAACTGCCCTCGAGACCAGGAACAAATTTGAGTCACTTTGTATTCTTTGCAGAACTGACGGGGGATTAAGAAGGAAAATAGAAAACGTGGCCTGATTTTGAGGCATGTGGGGACTTTTTAAGGGGAAAAATGCATTAAGCTGCTGCAGGTTTTAAGGTACCCAATTGCTCCCTAGCCACAAGGAAAAAAACCTGAAGACTATTGATAGTTTGGGAACTCTGGGGATTCTGTGCGGCCTACAATTGGCCCATGACTCACAGGATACACACCTATAAACTAGATTTGATTTGATTTGATCCAGCAAACCAGTTCTTGATGTTCTTCCAATGGGTTATGTATGTGTATGCAATGCATAGATCTTGTCTTCAAAAATATACATATGCACACATCTTATCCTGCTTCTGCTGTCAACACTCCCAAGAAAACTGCTGAAAAATTAAGTGACAACCTAATATATATTTCCTGTTGATGTCTTCTAGGTGGAATTCCAGCCCCAGTTTACTTTGGTGCTCTGATTGACAAGACTTGCTTGAAGTGGGCAAGTACCCCTTGTGGTCAAAAAGGAGCCTGTAGGCTATATGATGCGGTCCAGTACAGGTGAGTTCTACTGCAACTCCATGACTTCTGAGGACACTTTCAAAATGGCCTTCCAAATTACTTTAATGCAATGGCCACACTCAGATGAAATGAGTTGCAACATGACAATACAATTTTCCAGGTGATGGTTCCATGAAAATTAATATCCGATGCAAAGCTCTCACAGATTGTCCAAATGGACAATGTTTACGTGACATGGTTATATGAACGAATCCTTTTCTGGGTTTGCACAATAGCGTGAATTCTAACTTTGCCAGGTGGACTAGGTTTGAGCAAAGTAGGTCCACTTAACCAAATTTTAAATTAAGTGAGCTTAGCCTATTACATGAATGCAGCTACTAGGTTGATACATTTTAATTGGTATTACATGCATTTTATATCATTTACATAAAAAGATCATAAAAATGCTAATTATATAAAAATACATTGTTACATATTCAGATTTAATGGACATTTGGCTTTAACAAATAACCCTTCCCTGTAAAATCAAGGTGTTAATGCATGTTGTTAGTTCCTATATCATTCTCTCTACCTTTCTGGATGAAAAGTAAGGGTTTAGATTTAGATTAGCCCATTGATACAGTGGTTAAAGGCACCACACTAGAAACTGGGAGATTGTGAGTTCCAGTCCCGCCTATTATTTATATAATTCACTCTGATAAATTCATCAGAATGACCTTTCAGTGGCTAAATAAAACCTCCAGGTTTTGCAGAAGTATAGTCCACTAAATAACAGTTGCCAGGGTTTATCTTGAGAACCAGTTTGGTGTACTGATTAAGGCACCAGGCTAGAAACTGGGAGACGGTGAGTTCTAGTCCTGCCTTGGGCACTGGGTGACCTTGGGCCAGTCCCTCTCTCTCAGCCCTAGGAAGCAGGCAATGGCAAACCACTTCTGAAAAACCTTGCCAAGAAAACTGCAGGGACTAGTCTAGGCAGTCACTAGGAGTCACAACTGTCTTGCAAACACAATTTTTCTTACACAGGCATTCCTTCTACGGTCTAATACTTGGCTTGAGAGTGCCAGCTTATCTGCTGGGTTTCATCTTTTTCTTGCTTGTCAAGAAACATTTTGGAGAACAAGAGGCCAAGGCGGCTGAAGATGGGTGCAAAGAAGATGCACCTCTGAACGAAGAGATAAAACTAAAAGACACAGAGCTTTCAGCACACCAGTCAGATGCAGAAATGCATACCTGCCTCTAGCAAAAACCGGATGCAGACCAAGGGTAGAAGATGATGGGCTGCAGGCAGAACCAACCTTGACCATAGCTGCTTAAAACTGGCAGCATTGCTTCCGGTCATTTTCAAGAGGGAAAGTTACCTCATTAAGGCATAGCAGCACCCAGTCAACCCTTCATTTCTCCTCCCCTTTGGCAAAAGAGAACTTTGAAAGGCAAAGGAGCCCCCATCTTGTGCGGTCTTATAAAGAATGACACTGATCATTGGTTGCACTGAAATAAAAATAAAACATTGAATTCTGGACCTGACAGAAGGGGTAATTTAATCCCAGTACTCAAGTCTTGTAAGATTCCTAGGTACCGGTGATATCTGTGTCATCCATGCAGTTTCTCTCTAAAAAGAAAAAGTCTGGTAGCACTTTTTCAGACTAACCGGTTTTTTTTAAATGCATAAGCTTTCACAGCCTGAGAAAGGTCTACTTGTGAGCAAGAGGTAATGGAGTGAAGGCAGGAGGCTTTATGCAAAGAAGTCCACAGCATTCCTTGGGTTGGTCAATGTGGAGAAGGTGGAGCTACAGGTTTCATCTGCAAAGGAGACACCTGGTGGGAATGGCTTGGAGTGGAAATGCTTGGAGGGCCCAGCAGAGGAGAAGTTCACAGAAGCAGATTGGAGCAGGCTAGTGGTTTCATTGGCCTGGCAGGTCCAGTTGCCCAGGTCTTAGAAATGCAAACCATGTCCTTAGATTAAGAGGTCCTTTCTTGCAAGGTAGGCTGAGAAAAGTCAATGAGAGGGAAGCAGCAGCCATCAAGATTTGAAAGGTTGCTCTTAAGCAAATAGAGCTACCAGAAAACCAAGGTCAACTTGGCCATTATATCACTCACCAGAGGTTCCATTTTAGAAGGGCACCAAAACTGTATTAAAGGGGCACATTAGAAAAGGGATGCGTGAGTGCATCTAGCACATATTACACAAGCAGTCTCAGCAAGGAATTCCAGCTGGAGAGCATCTTTCCAACCTCTCCATCAAGCACAGGTTGATCACAGGTGTGGAGGGCCAAAAAAGACAAGATGGCAGCTGTGACTGCTTGATAAAAGCCCCAAACCTTTTGGCATGTGTTCCACATAAAAAGGGGCAGGGCTTCCATTGCACAGTTGTGGCCACCATCTTGGCTTTTTGACCCCCCTCCCCGCTATAGGCACCCCTAGGTGACAGTCACCCCTTACTTGCTGTATGAATTACTTACTTACTTACTGACTGTATGAATTAACCTTTTAACAGTGCTTGGAGGAAGTTTTTAGCAACATACTATTCTGCTCACGTCAGTTTATCTATCTGTAGCCTGTGCTATAAAACAGAAATTGGTTCTGAGCTTGAGAGTTGCTTCCCCAAATTCTCTTAAGAAGAATCTCTTTGGCTCCTGCTGAATTTCTTCAACAAAGAAAAAATTACTTCCAAAAAAAAAAAAACCTTTTCATCTTGCCTTCCACCAATAGGGGGAGCTCTAGGGAATGAATTATCTCCTAGGAGCAGCCAATCAAAGAACTTCTTCTGATTTATTTTATTTTATTTTATTTTATTTTATATTTGCAGTTTTAATAATATTAGGAGACAATGCACAGTCATATGAACACACAAGAGCCAGAGTAACTTTCTGCAACACTAAACTACAAAATCATCTTGATAGATGCTGTATATTTTCAAAGACCCATATTAATTCTCTCTCTCCACCCACTTTGCAAATATCTTCCAAATTTATCTTGGCACAAGTCTCTCATAACAGTTCTTCTCTCACTTTTCCTGGCTATCTTTAGCCTATTATCAGTAAAAGAGGGGCTAGAAATTGAAAGAATGCATAACAATTATTCCCTTAAGCCATTCGTTGCCTTTGGTTTCTCTTAGAAAGCGTTCCTATACTGATATCTTCTTGAAATGCTAGAAGAAATGCAAGACTTGCTCTTCAAAATTAGTAATAAGAAGGTACTTTGCATTTTGTTTGTGGTACATTAAAGATTAAGGAAGGAAGGAAGGAAGGAAGGAAGGAAGGAAGGAAGGAAGGAAGGAAGGAAGGAAGGAAGGAAGGAAGGGGGGAGGGAGAAGAAAGAAAGAAAGAAAGAAAGAAAGAAAGAACGAAAGA